ATACTTCCCTACCCATACTTCAGAATATTTATCATAACTTTTGATGGAATGAACTGATTTTAATGAAATAAAGACTAAATGTAACCCGAAGATACACTTTATAATTTCCTTAACAATTCTTATGATATAAATTAGTACTTTATACGTGATACGTTAACAAACAAACAGACAGACAGACAGACAGACAGAAAATTCTAAAAATGGTAGAAATGTATTTAATTACTTATTTTTAGTACCCCTCAATCACTTTTATTACAAAAATATAAAATGTACAGACATCTGCTATTTACAGTTTTATTATATGTATAGATATTTCGTGACTTTATCACAGGGCATAATATATCCATATCCACAATGTCAATATTTAGGTATATTCCATAATTAATACCCTCCGCAATTTTTGACACTATAGAATTTGAGTTTAAACGTTTCATATTTCTTTAAAATTGTCTTACAACGCGTCTTCTGGTTGTGGTCACCAGTAATCCAAAGTTTCGCTTCGCTCGTCTTTTCACCTATATAAATATGAGTCTACTGTAAGTCTTTAGAATAGTCATTAAAAATTGTTATCCGTCTATTTATTTCAATATAATTCAAAAATCAAAAATTGTTTGATCGGCACCTAATATAATTGATATAAAAGCGCGGCCGGCAGCCAGCCTCTACGGAGACCAGCCATCAGCGCAGGACGGGGTTATAGTGTCCAAGTGTATGGGCGCATGCACAGGTGCACTCTCTATTCCCTCGCTCTATATTAGTCTAATGGGACGGTAATCCGACACGACCTGAGATACATTAGGCGCAGGACCAACGGCTTTACATGCTTTCCGAGGCACGGAGTTGAGATACCGCCAACTTCCTGACTCCTTTGTCGCCTTTTACGACTCCTATCCTACTGGATAATATATAGGTAGTGAATTCACTAACGCCACAACTACACGAAACAAACCTCAATAAAATTGTTTGTATGTTTGTATGTCCTCGAAATAAAATATTTTAGACTAAATAATCTAATTTCGACGACAGATGTGACTTTACTTTTTAACCGACTTCAAAAAGGAGGAGATTCCCAATTCTAGTGTATGTTTTTTTTTTATATATATGTTAAGCAATATCTTCGCAGATTGTGTATCAATTTTGATGATTTTTTTATTGGGTTATATTTCATGGGTGGTCCCAAATAAATTTGGAGAAAAAAATCAACCCTAAGAGTAGCAAATAGATAATTTGTTTTTTAGCAATTTGAAGTCGGTTTTAACTTTTTGTTAAAAGTTATAATTACCTATACATTTTAATATATTACATGACATATACCTATGACCTAGATAGTTGGCTATATCTACAGCAACTAACTATAGACAAGGTACCTACTAAAAATTAACGATTACCAAAGTTAGAATCTAAGCAAAGTAACTTTCTTACCTCGAATGATAAACTGTTATCTAAGTTAAGCCAGATTTTATATTTTAAATTAGTTTCCTTTAAAAATCCATTACTGAATATATATTGACCAATTAATTAAGAATGAACACATGCAGAAATAATCCAACTTTTTAATTAACATTGCAACAAAATCTCGATAACATCGCCGCTTGCTGTTTGAGTCATAAACGAGCCATAATAGGAATTCGCCATTTGCCTCGTAAACGTATTTAAAAACGAACAAATGGACACGCATGCTCGCTGGCTCGCCGCGAATAGAACAACTTAATCGCGCAAGAAATAAGAGCAATGATTAACAGACATAGTATACGAAACTTATTTTATTGCAAACTACTGTTTATGCCTATTGGTATCTTATCGACATTCAGCGAAGACGGTTGTGTTGATAGCGCGGGGAAGCTATCGGAATGCAGTTCGCATTCACAGATTTACTGGCTGGGAAGGTGGAATTCGAAGATTTTTGTTTTTTTTCATAGAATAAGGGTGACAAACGAGTACACAGTTCACCTGATGGTAAGTGGATGCTGTGGCCCATAGATATCTAGATTTATCCTCAATTAAGAATCAAAATGCAGATGCGTTGTCACCCCTGAGAACTGAGACGGAATGCCTCGTTTTCAGTTGAAAGGGTCTCTGGTTTTCTACACTCACCATAAGAAACACAGCAGCATTAATCTGCTATTTTACGCTGGTATTCTGTGTGAGCGTGGTCCTGCCCCGGACGAGCCGACCCATTCGTGCTGCAATCACAATATAGCTGCAGAGTTTTAATTAACTGTTTTTTAGATCCCTTTTTCACATTGAACTTTTGTTGTACAGAAGCAGTAGCATAGATAACAGAGCAAGCCAAACGGCTTGCCTCTATACTGTTATAGTAAAATGTTTATTGTTTTTAATGATTAAAAAATCTCATATGACTTCCGTAATCAATCACTGTTTAAATCTTTGTGTACCTTTGTGATATTTATTTCATATGAAGTAGTGTCAAACGTTGGATTTTTGTTGAGTGAAAGCTGTCTTTCTTTTCTGTAAGTAACCGAGAAGAGTATGTCTGCTGTTCCAGTGCTGAAACAAGAGATGGGCAGCAGCATCGTAATATTAACTCAAAAAAAATTCCACTTGCCAACCCGCCCGCCAGACGGAGCAACTATGGCAAATCTCGCCCCCCTGTGAGGCAATTTATGGAGGAGGCTATAAGCCACCATTCATCAAGTCTTTTGACGAATGACGAAATTTTGGACTTTTGATAAATGATTGAATGTAATCATTTAATAATACATGGACAGTAAATAAAGACAAGAAAATGCCAAAACGAAATCGAACCTTAAAGCGGTAGATCTATTTTATTTTTGTAATAGATAACTAGGCAGTTAGGTACTTTATTATTAGTCTAAATTATCAGTTTAAGTAAGAATAAAAAGTATAAATGCTTGTATAAGGTGCCTGCGTTATCATCAGTGCGTCAGTTCTGTGTCGAGTTGAGTTGAGTGTTGAGTTGGGTTTATTGTTGGGTTGAGTCCTCCCAACCAAATTTCTGTCACAGCAGCCAGTCTCAACGGAGACAAGCCCATCAGCACAGTACAGAATTATAGTATCCGAATGTATTGCGCAAGCACAGGTACACTCTCTATTCCCTCACAATCATCAAATTGTAATCCGACACGGTCCGAGAGAACACCGCAGGACCAATAACTTACACATAATTTAATAGTTTCTAATGTCACAAACCTTAATATTTCGACAAACTTTGTCTTTGCATTGTTTGGAATGCTGAAATCAGGTCTTTTTCTGACTACGACATTAGTTTAATTATAAAAGCGTGCGATTTATTTCCGTTTATAACATATTAAAAGTGATATAAAGTTCATAATAAAACAAAAAAACTACACAAGAAAAAGAAGTATAATAAGGCTCATGGTAAAATTTAGTAGGCCTTAATAACGACCAAGTAATTAAGAAAAAGCAAATTTAAAAAAAAATTGACCACGATACGTTACTTAAATCTTCCAGATCAACAAAGCATTTATTCACAAAGATAAAGATTACGATTTTAGATAACTTAGTGTAATATTACAAAACACACCTACGATTTATTTGGACAGATTTTTATTATTGGTGCAGTGCGGTCGTATCTTATGATAAATAATGCAACTGTGGTGGCAGGAGCAGGACGCGGGGTAGCGCGTCTCTGCAAACTTGTAGAGACATTATCGTGCAATAGCAGTCTGTTATTATCTGTTAAGCGAGTGCGGTTATTTTTGTTACTTAGGCATTATTAGCCGACAGACCTTTTTACCCGCAGGCACCTTTTATACTACTAATCAAATTAATTAAGTAGTAACTTGATAAAAGCCTGGGAATATTTTACATGTTAACCTCGTTTCTCAAACGTTTTGAAATAATTTAAAGAGATAAATTATTGAGCCGTGGAATCTAGGAGATACCTGATGCGCTTATCTCCTAGGTAGAGCAATCCAAGTCGATAGTCGATACCCGTCGTACCAATGACATTATTAATGGGTATTATAAGTTTTGATGTAAAACATCACGAGGAAATCTCCATGTCTTAGAAATAAAAAAAAAATCTGTTCTATACCTCTGACTCTATTATTATTTATTAATCTATTTATTTCTTTCTTTCATTCAGAAATGAGAATGGAAACAGTTCTGAGCCCATTGATCTAATAGCAATTAAGGTATAGGGTAATTTACCTTTTGAAACTAATAGTGACCCTGACAGGGTAACGCATAAAACTAGGTTGTGGATGCTAATCTAGGTTTAAGTAGTAATATTAAGTATTTATTACAAAAGTAGGTATATGTAACGTCAACAACATTACAGTATAGATAAAAAAAATTTTGATGATTATACTATAATGACAAAAATCTGGCAATCGAGTATTGCTCTCGTCGCCAAGGTATATGGAAGTGCTCAATTTTTAACCGGTGCTAAGCTATCGAGTTAACTAAAACCGCGTATAGAGGTTCAGAAGGCCCGCTCAAGGAAGGTGCGCTGCCGGTCCGTCGCAGCCGCGCGGGCGATCGTCCGCGGCGCACATTACAAGAAGCGTCGCCTGGGCAACGAGGCGCGTGACGTCACGAGCTGTTAAAGACCTTCTAACTCATCGGTTAGAAGTATCATGAAACAGTAGTGGCATCACACTAAAGAATACACTTCCGAAATGATATAAGATTCGGCGGTATATATATCAAGCGATCATAAAAATTTCACTTGCGCGATGTAGAACTAGTACATTTTTCAAATCTTTTAAATTATTAAAACATTTTGGAATTTTTATAACAAATTTGAAATAACATTTTGAATAATATTCACACATTTTGTTTTATTTTATGTATTTTATTTCCATTTTAATTGATTTTAATAAAGTGAAATTAAATTGTACCTTATAACAGCGACACCTAGTTAAGATTCTGGAAACTTCGCGGCGTTAGATTGCTAACTGCAGTTAATCGAACTGAGGGTGTTTTTACCATACCGATTAAAACTTTTGGGAAATTGGAGAGCAGTAATTATAAAAAAAAATATTTTGTTTCAGGGTATCAAACAACGAAAGAAACGAGAGTCCTGGCACAGATGATGGCAGTGTATCCCCTGAACCACCTGACCGGCCGCCCGGGAAGGTACGTCAAGTTCATCCGGAGGATAAAGCCCAATTTGTCGCATATGATCCCATATATCGTAAAAAGGCAAAGCCGAAATCACTTCCCCTTGAAGACAATCAGATGTACAGTCACTTAGCCAATACAAATGTAGCAATGTCTCCAATGTATCCGCTCACACCAAATATTTGCGTCGAGGGAGGCAAGATTGAGTTCATCAAGTCGCCGCCAGGTAGCGCTAGAAACAGCGTGGCGCTAGTATCGCCGCCGCAAACTCCAGTGGTAGTTCGGCGCAGTTCGCGGGAAAAACGTGAAGTACGATGTAGCGACGAACACGTTGAGAAGTTCGATGGTGATAAGGTAGGTGGCGCTGTTTAAAAATAAAATTAATTGTTAATCTTTAATAAGTGCATAAATCAAAGATATTGATGTGTAGTATTTGCTATTGCCTCGAATTTCGTTCCTAAAAAGTGTATATAAAATTCATTGTCCAATAAAATTTTATATAAAAATGCACTGTTACCTAAAGAAACTTTTTTCAACTAGGCAAATTTTAGTTTTATTTTTTATTGATGAAGTGTTAGGTATATGCTCATTACGTGCATGCTTATCCACTGCATTATTAAAAGAAAAAAGTAGTTATAAATCATGATTGATGCGCCGTGTAGTGGTGGCGTGGCGTAAGAAAATGCACTATCCCATACTTACTATCTTTTTTTGGGTGTTGTAAAAGGTGATAGAGCGAAATGAAACAAGAGATAAGCAAGCAGCAGCAGCATCACCCGTGTAACAACTTAAAATGATAAAAAACTATTCTTGTTAACCCAGCTGCCAAATGGCGGGACGAGGCTATTTTTTTTATAGGATCGAGTGACAAACGAGCACACAGTCCACCTGATGGTAAGTGGTTGCTGTGGCCCATAGACGTCTACATTTATCCTCGTTTGCGAATCAAAATGCAGATGCGTTGTCACCCGTGAGGACTAAGATGGAATGCCTCTTTTCCATTAAAAAGGATCTCCGGTTCTCTACACTCACCATACGAAACACAGCAGTGTTAAGCTGCTATTTTACGCTGGTATTCTGTGAGAGCGTGGTCCTTCCCCGGTCGAGCCGATCCATTCGTGCTACAACTATACTACTAATATAGCTGCCGCATGGCTCTACCACGTAAAATATTATATTATAGTATAAATATTTATATTATAGGTTCAGCAGTGAGTTTTTGATAGACTGTAATAAAATCATAGCGTGGACAATTACTCGCCATTTGAGACAGCTCAACACACAATTGAGATGGCCATACTAAAAGCTTACCCTGCATAAGTGTTTAGAGTGAGAAAGGAATACGAAACGATGTTTATTGCAGTGCCAAGAAACATTATTTAATCTGTGGCAGTACGTTCAGGCACGTTTTGACGCTCTTGGGTGATAAATAACCAACAAAGCGCCAATATCTCGGTCGACCGAATCGGTAAGCTAAAATGGCCATGCAAATGAAGTGCAACCCAATTTTCTACCGACTTCAAAAAGGAGACGGTACTCAATTCGACTGTATGTTTTTTTATGTGTTATATCTTTTTACTGGGTGAACCGATTTCGATGATTCTTTTTTTATTTGAAAGCTGGTGCTTCACATGTGATCCCATACTGATCAATAGTTTTTGAGCTATTCTTAATAATTTATATTGAAGTCAGGTGTGCAAAATTTTTAATTTTAATTTATTTTCCGACGCATAGCGCTATAAACCGGTAATCAATGCGAAAGAAAGACATTTGATTGAATGCCTCGTAATTCTTATCAGCAAACCTTCAGCAAATGTAATTCTTCATAAGTTTTTATACATAATGTTATGCTTTCGTTTTAGGATTTAAGTCAAATCGCCACTCAGGCCCAGCATGACTGGCTGGCCTTGGTTGATATTAAAAAAAAAATTAAAAATGACTTAAGTTTTAAATGAATTATTGTAGTAAATTAAGTATTTAAAATTTAAAAAGAATTCATATAGTTATTTAAAAATAATAATTAAGACTTTTCAAATTACAATACAACTGAATTTTGAAATTCTACTGCTCCAGGCGTCATGAGCCTAAGTCTAAATCCGTTGCTGTTACAGCTTACAACGCATAAATTTTGACTCATAAAGAAGAATATATTTATGTCCATATAATGGACTCGACATACTTTACTATTAGGCAAGAGTTAAGAGTAAGCGTAATCTTTAAGTGGATCTTTCTATGTGGGACTGTGTTGCTTGTTTGTCACTTGTATAAAATACCATTTAAAAATAATAATACTTAAACAGTTTACCTGCCCTCGCTTCGTTATAAACAAACCTGCTTCTGATTTTGTTTCATTTTTAACATTAAATGTTTTCAACGAAACTTTTCCTATAACCGAAGGTCCTATTCCAATATCAACAAACAATTCTCCTTGATATGTCCAGGCCCTTGTCAAAAACCTCTGGAAACTTATTTCCGATCTTTCAAAATCCGACATCGCCTTTTGTGACGCGATCGCAACAAAGAAATTAACTTTTTCAGTTCTGTACACGTTGCAATTTATTTCGTTTCGTTTTGTTGTTTTGATACTTTGAAGTTTTTTTTTCATCAGACACTCGTATTTGCTCGCTACTCTGTTAAAAAAAAAAACTTCAAAAGTCCATTACTTAAAATAGGCATCAATAGATTGCCTCATACGAGGTATCTTTTCCAAAGTAGCCACGCTTAGTGAGAGTGTTGGCAACCAGAATTTTTTATTATTATTAATTGTTACCTGCGAGTTGGTTGCTGTTCATCTAGCTCATTTTCCCTCTGTCGTCTTTTATATAAAGTAATGGATTGATTCTCCTACGTTTTACTCAATTAGTTTGGTTCAGTTCATATTGGATTTACTTTAAAAATATATTATCAAAACGACACAATTATGCTGGGACGTATAGTACGTGAGCGAAATCGTTATATTTGCGTAGTCTATAAGGAGGTAATATGAAAACCATAAACATTACATCTTTAAAGACTACGCAAAATGAAAAAAAAAACAACCTGAGCAACGTGAGTCCTTCCTACGTCATTACTCATTACCCACCTTTTTTGGAGCGTTGAACGATCCGTGTAGAGCAATTCATATGCTTTTTATTCCGCTTCCGCCATTGATATATATGTAGGTACTACGCATATAAAATGTATTCGCTACACTTCAGTTGTTGCCACTAAAAATAGTTTCATTTAAATTAAAATAATTTTTAGTATAATATGTATGTTAGAGTGGGACAAAAAATTTGTTTTTTCTTTATTTACCATGAAAATATTGTTTAAGATGTTGAAAAAAAATCTGGTAAAGTTTGAGCTCTTAATATTAATATTAAGTGGTGCCCCATCGCGATTTTTGATTTCCCATTTAATTAACACAGGAAAAAAAGTATTTTTTATTTGGAATTTTATTGCGTTCTAACAAATTAGCGTGTTGTAAAAATCAATACATATTCTTGTAGGAAATTGAACGATCTTCAAAAAAGGTCTCATATGATTTTTCGCTAAGTCGACTCATTATACTCGTATTATAATATTAATATTAAGAGCCCAAACTTTACCAGAATTTTTTTTCATCGTCTTGAACACTGTGTTCACGGTAATTAAAAAAAAATTAAATTTTGTTTTGGCTCACCCTAATGTATGTATTATTCAGGACTTTTTTTAATCTAATATTTATCTCAATTTATCCTAATCTAAAAGCAAACGTTTAAAAGCATCTTATTCAATTTTTATCCCGTACATCTCCAGTGACTACAAGAGGGGTAAAAATAATTGGCCTGATGCACCTTAATGCGTCTTTAGTCGTGCCTAAATTGTTTTTGAAAGCCTCTATGATGGCTGTCTTTCGGTAGATTGTGTCGGAAAATATGGGCTTAGAGTGAGGGGATTTGTCATAGATAAAGTTTTAATGGAGAAACATAACATAGAGATAGGTAATGTGCTATTTAGATTCTCCATTTCATTTTTGAAGAACTGATGTTCATTTTTCTATTGCTATAATTCGTACTATTCGTTGCTACGTTCGTGTTTGCCATATTATTTATTTTATGCTAAAGTCTGCCCATTTAATTAACGTAGTATGATAGTCTCGGGCTTAAGTTATTGTTTAAGAAGATTTTTGTTGAGTAAATAAGTTCTTTCGCGACGCTAGTTTTCGCAAAACTTGACATTTGTTGTTGTATTCCATATCTTACGTTTTCGCATATTTCGGTGGGATTTCTTACGAGTAACAGATTGTGGTTTGTAAACCTGAGATTAATTATAAATTACTTTTTGTAATGCGATGGATAAAGTCTACGTTACCTGCGTATTTATAACAAATCTATTGAGATGTATAACTAGACAAAATATTACCCTCTTTTTGACTTTCGCCGCAGCAGAGTAATAAAAACCAGCCTTGTTACTATAAGTATCGGTACTTTACTGTTCAATAAAAAAAATCGGATGGACGATATCCGTCTACTGACGTTACAACTATTACTTAAAATTCAGACTTCGAAACCTCCATCAGGAGCTTGAGAAATGTGTAGCAATAAAATCCAGACGTTATATTAATATTAATAAAGGAGTTACTGGCTGCTAAGATTTGTTATTGCGTGTCATAGACGGTGTAAGGACAACGTATTATCGGAAACCTATTTGCATAGTTGAATGTCAAATCCGTGCAATGGGCACGGATTTGACATTCAACTATGTCTGTTTCTTGCAATGATGTTCATGGTTAGGGAATATGCAAGTACTTTCTGATTTGCTACGGACTGAATAATTTGAATGTGCAAATATATTGTACAAGATTTCACATATTATTAAACTCGTAAGTACTAATAACGAATAAATAAGGGTTCAATGCGAAAAAAGATATTAATTGTTATATGTAGGTTTTTGATTTTTTAATTTAATCCAGTTATACGTGCTTATATATATATATATATATATATATATATATATATATGTACATCTTAAATATATTTCATAAATTTGATTACATTATTACATAGTCAAATTTTAAACTTAAGTTCACACATATAAATAATGATATACCGTTATTGCGGTTTTTGTAAATGCGAGTGAATAAGGCTTCTACTTTTATTTGAAATTATCCCAAATTGAATGTGATGTATGTGCAATAAGGTTTTTGCCTATTATATCGATCGAAACTTACGAATGTGCGCACGCACAGTAAAATCAGTTATAATTATGCATTATCACGCATTTTGAATTTAAAAGATAAAAAGGACAGCAGGCTTAAGATTTTTTAAATTAAATTTTCTTCGACGTTTGCCTATATTAATTATTCTGACTCTTCTCTGAAAATTTGACCAGTT